AACAGCTTTTCAAAGCAACTTTCTACAGCAAGAACAACTAAGTTAGTTTACCCAGGACAAGGCCTACTACAGGAAGCAGCTTTTTCTCTTAAGCCACAAAAGGCATGGAGTTCCATCAGCATTCCTTTAACAAGGAAGCACAGCCCAAATGTCAAGAACAGTCACAACAGGAGAACGAAGAAAACATTCTGAAGAATGAGCACCAGGATGTGAGTGAAGCGCAGAGTCCTTACCAGGATCAATGTTCCTGCTCTCTAAAATCACCATGCAAGTCTCCTGAAACTTCTTGAGCTTCTCAACTTCTTGGCCCAGGCTGTCATTCTTCTCCTTTAACTCCTTGATAGTGCTCTGCCATGAACACAGGTTGTGAGGGAAGCGAGTTTCCAAGGAGATGTCCTTGGTCAGCAGTACTGACATGGACAACTTAACAAGTGCTGCACTGGCACCACGAATCACTCACTCCTTGCCCTTTTGTCTCCACCACCACAGCAGATTAGGTGCTGCACACCCTTGCTCCTGCTTCCTGACAGGATTAAATACAGCTACCACATCCCCACATCACACCAATTACCAGCAAAATTTGATTCTAAGAGAAATTCCTCTTAGGCAGTCCTGGGTCTTCTCTTTTGCTCCCTCATTTACATAAATAATTCGTGCATTGAGGAGCATGTAAACGTTCAGAAGAAAAGGGGATCATACTTTTTTTAAGCCATGGCATTATTCCCTACACAATCCAGGTATCACCAGGCAACTGGACAAGCTGATCAACCTCCCAAGCTGAATGCAATTCTCCAAGACATCAATAAGCACGTGTATAAGGATGATCCAGCTGACAGTGTCAAAAGCTTCTGGGAAATTTCATGGGAGGTCTCAGAGGCTCTTAAGAGCCTCAAATCAAGCTGTGAGATATGAGGCAGGATCATCTCACAGACTGAGAACTAGGAAATCAAGAGAGATTTTACAGCCAGGGGTTGCCAGGGGGGCCTCCTGCGAGTGACAGAAATGGTGCTAAATGTGTCCTAAAGTGAACTGTAATGACGAAACTTCCAACTTCAATTCTAAACTTGATTCCAGAAAGTCAAATCTGTTTGAAACAGAATCCCCTGGACAGTCCCAGCTCTCTCAGCCTCTCCTCCAGTCACTTAATCATCTCTGTGGCCCTTTGCTGGACCCTCTCCATTATATCCGTGTCTCTTTTGTACTAGGAGCCCAGAACCAGACAAAATATTCCCAGTTTGGCCTCCCCAGTGCCGAGCAGATGGGGAAAAAACTTGCAGAGGAATACAAAGACAGAAAAAGATTAGGCAACTAAGTGATTATTTACAGTTCCTCTGGCTGTAGTGAGGAAGCACCTGGCAATATCAAGGCTGTTCTAATAAAATTCCATACAAGTGTCTAGTTGTGAACTTGAAATATTCTCCCACAGAGAGTCTGAACTGGAATTAGAGCTCTAGTAACATTTCACAGGGATCTAGATGCATTTTCCATCGCAAGGCACCTGCAGCTCTGCTGATTCCCAGCTTCTGGCAGATACCACGGGGGCCAGAGGAGAAAGCCCAGCCCACCCAAACTCAACTGACTTGTGATGGAGGCAGGAAAATGAGCAAGAGAATCCTTAACGTGACCCTGTAGGGATCAGAATGCAAGAATTACTCAATGATTTATTCATCCTTCCCACTTTCCTTACCTGTGCTCCTATTAGTCTGGAGTTTAGCTGTTTTTTGGCTGTTTCCAACAGCTGATTCTTGCTTTTCAGCTCTGCTTCTACTTTGTATCTGTTGAGAGCGCTGTAGAGTCAAAAAGCAAAGATTTAGGGGCAAAAAAGACCAGTTTTGCACACCTTCTTTTGCTTACACAAACATGCCCTTTTCAGCAGTATCTGCTTTTGCTCCTGACCAACAGATTTGACCAGCAAACTTGGCAGCAAACGCACCCTCTTGTCGCTGTCTTCCTGCAAAACTGCTCCCCTTTCTTGGCGGATTTCGGCAACCTTAAGAGATGGATAAAATACAATTAGCAGAAGACCACTGTGCTGCTGCAGATCAAGCCTGTTACTCTGACAAAAGTCTGCAAAAATTAGGCATCTTTGGGACATCTGCCAAGTAAATCCATTAATATTTTACTTCTACTTACCCTTGGTTCCCAGCCTTGAAGACACCATCCGCTGGAAGGTTTGAGACAAAGTTAAAGTTGGGATCCTTGCTGAAGTCTGGCTCTGATGCTTTGGTGGTGCAGTGACCTTTCTTTGAAGGAAAGGTCACTTGTGTTTCTGCAAGAAAATCACACCAATGAAAACACTCCAGTCTGGAAAAGACCTCCTTAAGGTCTCTCAAACCTTCAATTTGAGGAAAATCAAAGTTATATTTGGCTCAAATAGAGACTTTAAAGTAGAAACAACTAAGAGCAGCCTTCAAACTTTACCCAGGATTAAGTGTTCAGAGCAAGCCACAGATAGGTCAGTATAGACAGCGTTAAAATATAATTACCAGGCTTGAATGAATGAGAGAAACGGGTGAAAGTGATAATATAGATGTGATAATAAAAGTCTCATACATCATTCAACATGCCACAGGGTTACAAGCAATGCAGTTCAACACTGGAAGCAAAACAAACACAGCCCACTCAAAACTCTGCTCAGAGACCTTCATACTCCAGTTCATTATGAGCAGATAGCTACTAAAACAGCATTACAGAGAACTAGCTTTCTACGTGGTTCACAGTCGCAGCTGCTTGAGTGTATAAGCTTGGTTCACACAGTTGGTTTGTTGGTTTGTTTTCTCCCTGAATTTCAGTATATTCCCAATAACACATCCACGAGCACCTTTACATGCAGTTTCCATCGATACAGCCCAGCTCCCCCGACTTTAACGCTAAGCCCGGGTGCCTCACGTTCCTAAAGTCCCTAAATAGCATTAAAAGATCTATAAAAGCAAGAGACCGGAGGGAGCATCTTTCACATGCACAGGCCGCCGCCTTCAGCGGGCGGGGAATACACACGGCGGGAAAGCCAAAAAGCGTTAACCTATGTGATAAAGACGGGTGGAACAGTGGGGGTTAAAAGCTTATCGCTCGATTTTGGGGCAGCCATCACGGGGCAGGCAGAGCCGCGGCTCCACGAAGGTGTGGCGTGCCGCCCACCACCCCGTCCCCCGGCCTAACAGCCCCCCCCCCCTTCCCGCCCCGGCCGTGCCCGCCGGTGCCCCCGCGGTGCCCGGCACGTACCTGCGGGCGGCGCGGGGCGGTGTGTGCCGCCGTACACGGGGATGCGGGAGGGTTCCCCGTCCATGGCGGCCGCTCCCCCTCAGCCGCCGCCGCCGCCCTCCGAACCGCGCGCGCCGCGACCGTTGGGCGGCCCCGCGCATGCGCGGGGGAAGGGGAGCGGGAGAGCGCGTGGCCGGCGGGGCGCTGAGGGGGCGCGCGCCGCTCCCGCCTCGCGCCGCCGCCCGCCGTTCGGCTCCCTTTTCTTTTTGCCTCGCGCCCCCCGCCCTCAGTGAGGGGGGGTCTTTGGGTTCCCTGCGAGGCTCCTTCCCTGCAGGGAACGGCCCGAGCGCTAATTCTTCCCTTCGTTCGCTGCCTCCTGCTGCCTCGCCCTCTACTTTGGGCACTCGAGGCCGGGAGAATCCCGAGCTGTGCGGGGATTCGAGGGGACTGCGTGGACGCGACGGCATCAGGGCACTGAGGGCGCCGGTGCTGACTCTTGCGTGTGAGGTACTGAAATCGCCCT